CAAAATATAAATCTTTCCGTGTGGGTTTTGTTATAAATTGTTCTCTGAGAGCGTAGGGTGAAGGAATTCGCGTTTTCAAGGGCGGAACCTCTGAAAAATTTTAGTCAAGCCACGCCTTGGAGAAGATATTACTCTTTCACGTGAGAGAGAATCGATGATCTATTGTCCAACTCTAGAAATGTACCGTCTCAAAACGAACATTAAATAAAAATTAAGCAATAATAATAATCCACGAGATAGAGTTGCGAATTGTTTTTTGAATTTATGAAAATTTAAGATGAAAAATGATGTGTGGATGAAACTCAATGAGTCAGATTGAATGAGATCTTTCCGCTTTTACTCCCACCAACTTAACATTCTCGTTAACTGGTGATTATAGGATCCCCTAGGGAACCATTTCGTGACTACCCGATCTATCCACCCTCCATCAATATTCTCTTCCTTCACGGTTTATTAACGCCGGACAATAGATTAAGTGCCTGAACCAATCATCCATGTCTTATTCACCTCAAATCCAAATGACAAATATCATTTTTACTCATTCCACATTCAAGTCATTTCCCGCTCAACGGAAACACAAATAAAAGCTGCTATTTCGTACGGGAAAAATGCTCCGAATGTCACTGCACTGGTAAAGAATCATTAAAATTCCAGAAATTCAAATCACAATGGCAGGATTTTTTAATTATGCCTCAGATTAATTAAGTTTGAATTCAATTTCAGTTAGAAATTGTCACTGCATTTTTTTGGGGTTGACAATTGAAGGGCATTGAAGCTTTCGGGGTATATGATAATTCATTTTGTAATGAAAGAATTTTTATTTTGGTAGCGGAAATTTAACGGTAAATACAATTAAATTTTTTGTCGATGCAAAATTTACGAGAATTCTCAACTCATTCATCAATAAAAAAATCTACAGTAATTAAAAATCACTCAGTAATTGTTAAATATAATTTTTTTCAATTTGAAATTTGAAGAATAATTTTCCAACCCTGTAGAAATTATTATTACGATTATTACAATAAAAATGTCTACTATATTAATATTCATATTTCATGACAACACTAATTAAAATATTTTCGCAAAATTATACCACAAAAAATCGTAATTTCGACTGAAATACAGATCGAAAAATTTTCGTATTTTCCACTGAAAATTCTGTTGAGTATGCACTTTAAAAATTGAGTAGAGCCAGAATAGAAGGAGGAAACGTATGAAATGAATGTCTTCATCGGGTGATTAGTGGTATCGAATAGTAAAATAACCGGAGGATAAAAAACTGGTGTGGGCAGAATGGGGCGAAATAGGTAACACATAAATGCAATCACTGCTTGTCACGAACCGAGAAAACGTTCAACAGGTTACTGAGCTCTACGTTATGAGAGTTTATTCGCGTGCCACCGGGAGTCCATTCGGGTGACACATTTCCCTGTACTGGGAATAGGATATAACCAAGGAGCTACTTGGCACGCCTCTACAAAGTGACTATTTTTTATGGATCTTTTCCACCAATAAATCCCCCGTCTTTCCACCCAAATCGCAAACCGAGTAGTGGCCCCACTCCAGCTCGTTATTAACCTTCTTTACATGCAGTTATCCGCAAATCGTGTTCAACCAGACTCGCGAGAGAATTATATATTTCATTCTTAACATCGGTGGATTGACAAATGTGTGCAATTCCGCGGACGTCCTTGAAACATTACTCGTACTTGTTCGAAATTTAATACACAAAGTTCTGACGGAAAGATTGTTTAATAAAATTTCCCTGAAGGTTCACTAATCATGACGTTTTAGTAAAAATTCCTACTGTTGTCCACTTCTGCAATTTTTCTTCGGTAATTCTTACGAAAGAAATTTTCATAATCACCGAACTTGTCGCAGGTCTACAAGAAAGTTTTTCATATTTTCACTATTTATTTAAAATAGTTTAAAAATGAAACACATGCATGGGGAGGAATATTCAGATAAAAATGGCAGAACTCTCTGAAAAAACTCTGTAATTCCGTAAAATGTTGGATTGCACATTACTTCATTGATTTTTATAAGAAAAATTAGACTTGGGAGTAAACCTGATATTAATCCCACGTTTCGCCTCTGCAGTTCGAATTTTAATAAAAAAATTTATTTCCGTGTGCCCGAAGGGCACCAAAGGGTATTATTATTTAGCGATTTGAAAATAGATCATAAAAAATGGTTGGATTACTGAACCAGGGTGGGTTAAGTGAGTCAGTTGTATCCAGGAGTTGTCCATGAATAAGTGAAAGGGAGCAGTAGAATAGCCCCACCATAAATGCGGCGTGCAGCCGGCCTTGCCTGAAGTGAGTGCGATCATATCGGCTTGTTAACTGATATTAATAGCTGGGCGCGGTGATACGTATACTCTCAATACCCCTTGTCGAAAAAGGGGGTTGCATGCCCGCACCCTCTGGGAAACCTATGCGAATACATTCGACGCTTTCTAATTGTAACAAATTAAATCACGCTACGTCGATACGCCACAAACGCACACCACCCACCCCTGCAATCCGTCGATCATGAGAGAGCGATTTTTAGTTGTGATACGAACCGTCACCCCCTCAAAATCAAATATTTAATGGGTTCTAGTATTCAGGTTAAAACGATGGAAACCCACTGTCCATTAATTTATTCAGAATTCATTTTCTTTGACATATCGCAATTCATTATTTATTTACAATTATTATTATTCAGTATTTTGCGTAGAAAATATCAGACTTTTAACTCCATACCGATTTTTTATCAATAAATAATGATGTTTGTTGGAAAATTCAATACCCCAGCTTCAATGAATAAATCGCATGCTCATGACCGCGAAATTGATATCAAAATAAAATTTCGCCGTCATCTCATTGGCGTCATAAAATTGACAGGAAATAACATACCTTTTTAAAATTTTGTATTATTTCATTATTCACTGCTTGATGAAGTTTTATTATAGTAGAATAATTTTCAACTACATAACGTAACATCATCTTTCATTCGTATTGCCAATGCAATTTCCCCAGAAACAATTAAAATGCAAAGTAAAAAGATAATTTAACCCCTTCATCGACATGGGCTATCAGGTTGAATCTTCGATCTATTCTCTTTCATTTATATACATAGAGAGAGAGAGGGATGGGGGGTTGAAAACAAGAGCGATGCCGTGCACCCGAGAGTTCCATAAGCATTCATATATTCACGGTTGGAGTGCATTATACTTGCATACTGAAACGCTCGGGCAGCTAGCACAGTGGACGATATCAGCGATATAGAAATCCAAGGGGGGGCTGGTATATAGGTAGTCAGATAGCCAGTGGTACAGCTGGTGCAGAGGGAGTAGTTGGCTGGTGCTACGAGCCTGTAGCACGCGAGAAATCCGATTGACTTGTAGATGAGGCGACAGTCGATACGAACTGGTGTGGCAATACCACCCTCTCACCTCCCCACGGCCATTCGTTTCAGGCCCCTCTATAGCCCCCACAACTGCCACTGGGTTGGACTACTCTTCCCTTTGACGTTAGCAGGCTTATCAAGTTAATTAATCTTGGCCACCGGTGGGATGCCGAGTGGCGAGTACAGGGCCCTCAAATGTCTGCTACTTGTACTCCCTCTCTTTGATTTTTCCTTTTTTATCCCATCCACTAGTCTGGTCAAGTCCTTCTATTACTATTACCTATTACAATTGGATGTAATCCTATTTTTCCACTATTTTACATCACTTTAGGTATTTTTTCACGTATCACTATTGCCTATTGCAATCAGTTATAATCCTATTTTATATTCCCTTTAACTATTTTTTCAGCTTGTACTCCCTCTCTCT